CTCTACTAAAACCACAAAAATTTAGCTGGGTGTGGTGGTGGGCACCTGTAGTCCCAGCTACTCAGGAGAGGGAGGCAGGAGAATCGCTTGAACCCAGGAGGCAGAGGTTGCAGTGAGTCGAGATCGCGCCACTGCACTCCAGCCTGGGCCACAGAGTGAGACTCCCTCTCAAACAAACAAACAAAAAATTAGCCAGGTGTGGTCATGCATGCCTGTAGTCCCAGCTACTTGGGAGGCTGAGAGGTGGGAAGATCAATTGAGCCCAGGAGATTGAGGCTGCAGTAAGCCATGATTGAGCCACTGTACTCCAACCAGAGCGACAGAGCAAGACCATGTCTTGAAAAAAAAAAAATTTAAAAAAGAAAATGCATCCCTGGACCAAGGCCTAATGTCCTTTAGAATGTGGCTAATGGAATCCAAATAGCTAAATCTAAATAAATAAATAAAACCCTCAACTCCTAAGCAACTGCCATGCTGGCAGAGGAGACAGTGCTGCGTAAAACACACACCTCAGTAGGTTGGTGGGGAAACCTGCTCTGCCCTGACGAGTGGGAATAAAACACTTCATGAGAGCATGGAGAAATTACTGGTTATGCTACTGTTTAAGGTTTGTTTTTATTTCTAGTTTTGTTTCTAACAAAAAGCACATCACTGTTGTGATATGTACCCATTCTGTAGCGCCCACTGGACAGACTGTGGTTCTCAGCAGTAGCACCCCCTAAACTTGCTTGGCACTGTGTAGCACAGACATTCTCTAAACAAAAACTACACGTTTTAAAAGAGCAGACAAAGACTTATCAGCTTATAGAAGCATCAGGCTTCTGTACAATTCTTTCTGTGGGCCGTGTTCTTCCTTACTGGAAAGTACTGAAAAAGTTATCCTAGTTTTTAATTTGAGTATCATTTGACTATCATGGGAGAGTAAGTAAAAGCCTTTTAAAGCAAATAGAAACATTTAAAATGACATTACCCATTATTAGTGAACATTAAAATTTTTATATAATTGAAATCAGTATTTATATCCAGATCAATAACTATATGTAAAACTCTAGTATTTTTAGTTACTGAAACTAGGAGATAACAGTGGTGTAACATGAGACAATCTGATTTTAGATCACTTCTGAGTGAAAGCAACTGAACATGGCTTACAAATAAAACTACTGTGAAACTTCTGCAAATGAATTTTCTTTTTTTTTTTTTTTGAGACGGAGTCTCGCACTGTCGCCAGGCTGGAGTGCAGTGACGCTATGTTGGCTCACTGCAACCTCCGCCTCCCAGGCTCAAGCGATTCTCCTGCCTCAGCCTTGCAAGTAGTTGAGATTATAGGCGCCCGCCACTATGCCCGGCTAATTTTTTGTATTTTTAGTAGAGATGGGGTTTCACTATGTTGGTCAGGCTGGTGTCGAACTCCTCGTGATCCGCCAGCCTTGGCCTCCCAAAGTTCTGGGATTACAGGTGTGAGCCACTGTGCCTAGCCCTGCAAATGGATTTTCATATTTTGTCAATTACAAGTACCAAACTATCACAATGCCATTTTCCGAATATAAGAAGGTCACTTGTTTTCTGCTATAAGTTACCACACATACCATGTTCTGACATCTTATTAAACACACACACATACAACAGTAAACAGAAAGCTTACCTTTTTTTCATTTCTAACAACTGATTATTGAGCACAGATCTTTCTTCTTCCAGCTAGGAAAAAAACATAAAAAACTTTCGTTCATAACCAGGCCACAGAGAGGCATATTTTTCATCCCACATGTCATCCCCCAGGTTCCAGGATACCTAAAGCCACTGGCTTTCCTCACCAGCAATGAAGAGTAGCAAGTGGTCACTCTATCGCAGGATATTGTTATTAATATATAAATCACTTATGACCTCAGTAACTCCCCCTCCTCAGGGATCTGAGAGTTAAAAATATTAAATAATAACACCTTGAACACAACAAAGCACCACATCTTAAGTATTCAAAATTTTTTTTTTTTTTTTTTTGATACGGAGTCCCACACTGTCGCCCAGGTTGAAGTGCAGTGGCACAATCTCTGCTCATTGCAAGCTCCACTTCCCGGGTTCACGCCATTCTCCTGCCTCAGCCTCCTGAGTGGCTGGGACCACAGGCGCCCACCACCATGCCCAGCTAATGTTTTGTATTTTTAGTAGAGATGGGGTTTCACTGTGTTAGCCAGGATGGTCTCGATCTCCTGACCTCGTGATCCGCCTGCCGGCCTCCCAAAGTGCTGGGATTACAGGCACAAGCCACCGCTCCCGGCCAGCATTCAAAAATGTTAATTGGCCAGGCGCAGTGACTCACACCTGTAATCTCAGCACTTTGGCGGGGCCAAAGTGGGCGGATCACCTGAGGTCAGGAGGTCGAGCCCAGCCTGACCAACATGGTGAAAGCCCATCTCTACTAAAGATATAAAAATTAGCCGGGTGTGGTGGTGTATGCCTGTGATCCCAGCTACTAGGGAGGCTGAGGCAGGAGAATGGCGTGAACCCGGGAGGCGGAGCTTGTAGTGAGCCGAGATCAAGCCACTACACTCCAGCCTGGGCGACAGAGCAAGACTCTGTCTCAAAAAAAAAGATTGTTAAATGAGTGAGTAAAGCTCCACTGCTAACATTCTAGTTCCTCTACTTAAACCGCAAAGGTCAAGTGTCACTAAATTGCAGAGGACTAGGAGCAGGCTACCTACTCTCTATGGGCCTCAATTTACTCATCCATCAATTCAACACACATTCACTGAATGGTTACTATATTCAAGCATTATTCAAGTATTTGTTTCTCACGTATAAAACAAAGAGGTTACAAAAGAATTTCCAGTGGTTCTTTATTATCCCATGAAGGATAAAAAACAAAAGATTCAGGTAGTTAATCTTGTGAAGGAAGAATCATCTCTGCCTCCAACTTGCACTACCCAGTTTGGCCAAATACCACCAGTTTCAACTCACACTGGTTTTTTTTGTTTTTGTTTTGATACAGAGTCTTGCTCTGTTGCTGAGGCTGGAGTGTGGTGGTACAATCTTGGCTCACTGCAACCTCCGCTTCCCAGGTTCAAGTGATTCTCCTGCTTCAGTCTCCCAAGTAGCTGGGATTACAAGTGCCTACCACCATGCCCAGCTAATGTTTGTATTTTTAGTAGACAGGGTTTTGCCATGTTGGCCAGGCTGCACACTGTTAATTTTTTAAATAAGGGTAAAAAAGCTCTTATATGTTTTTCTTAAATAAAAATATAACAGCAAAGATTATGTAATGGTTTCCAACAGCCTAGCATTTAAGTTACCAGCTCACTCTACATAGTTATAGTCATTATTAGTTATGTTCATGCTTTGCTATGAGGTCTTACTTTTAAAATTCTTAAATATACATAACACATGTTCTGAACATAAATATCCCTTTACCATGAAATCTATAGAGGTTAACATAGCTTTATAGACTCTTTGATGTCCTAGCCCATTAAGATATATGTTTTTTCTGCATGACTAATTCACAGAAATATTTAGAAATTTTTAGAATGAAAGGAAGAAAAAAGAGTGGGAGGCAAACTTTTAAAAAATGAAATGAGAAAGAGAACATCTGGAGAGTGGGATATGGAGATGAGAAGGGTTTTCATTTTGGTCTTTATGCCCTTTGTACAGTTTATATTTATTCTTTAAAGAAGGAATCTGTTTTAGTTTTAAAACTTAAAAGTTAAAAAAAATGAATACTTAAAACTGGAAAATTTTTACAATGAATATACAAATGGACAAAGAGCATGGCAGGTAATTCACAAAACAGAAAATAAAAATCATTAATGAACATTTGAAAAATCATTCAACCCTACAAACACACAATACACAAAGATTCTCCCTCTTTCTCAGAGGGTCCATGTGCCTGAACTTCCAAGGAAGAGATGTTTGATATTTATTATACTGATCTTTATAGAAAACAATGTTTTCTCTTCTTCTGGTCCAGGATTATTACCCAATCTAGGAGATAACAAGCTGCATCTAGCAGTTTTATTTCTTTTTTCTTTTTCTTTTTTTTTTTTTTAAAGACAGCGTTTTACTCTTGTTGCCCAGGCTGTAGTGCAATGGCACGATCTCACCTCACTGCAACCTCCGCCTCCTGGATTCATGTGATTCTCCTGCCTCAGTCTCCTAAGCAGCTGGGATTACAGGCACCACCATGCCTGGCTAGTTTTTCATATTTTTAGTAGAGACAGGGTTTCACTATGTTGACCAGGCTGGTCTCAAACTCCTGATCTCAGGTGATCCACCCGCCTCAGCCTCCCAAAGTGTTGGGATTACAGGTGTCAGCTCCCGCACCAGGCCCTTCTTTTCTTTTTTTCTGAGATGGAGTCTCACTCTGTCACCTAGGCTGGAGTACAGTGGCGCGATCTTGGTTCACTGCAACTTCTGCCTCCCAGGTTCAAGCGATTCTCCTGTCTCAGCCTCCCGAAGAGCAAGGATTACAGGCGTGTGCCACCACACCCAGCTAATTTTTGTATTTTTAGTAGAGATGGGGTTTCACCATGTTGGACAGCCTGGTGTCGAACTCCTGACCTCAGGTGATCCACCCGCCATGGCCTCCCAAACTGCTGGGATTACAGGTGTGAGCCACCGCATCCAGTCAGTTCCTCCAGTTCCTCATTCTTTCCTTGTATTTTGTGGCCTTGACCGTTTTGAAGAGTAGAAGCCAGTTATTTTGTAGAGTATCAGTTTGGATTCGTCTGATGTTTCCATGTGATTAGAGTCAAATCATGCACTTTTTGTCTGGAATACCACAGCAGTAATCCTGTGTCCTTCTCAGCAGATGATGTCAGGAGGTACATACTGTTAATTTTTGGTGAGGTTAACTTCGGTCACTTGGTTAAGAAGGAAGTATCTTCCACGTTTCTCCACTGGAAAGATACTATTTTTTTCTTTGTAATTAATATGTATTTTTGGGGGATACATTTTGAAACTATGTAAATATCCTGTTATTCAACAAACTTTTACCTACTTATTTTAGCAAAGATTGATGATTCTTGCCTGAAAAAATTATTACCATGCTGGTTACCATATGGTGATTGTATGATTCCATCATTCCATCCATTAAATATTTATTAGTTGGCCTTCTACCATCAGGAGGGGCTTTCATTTTCCATCCATCCATCCATCCATCCATCCATCCATCCATCCATCCATCCATC